CCCCCACCCCCAGGCCGTGACCCGCAAGGTGCGCATCCTGGATGTGAAGTACAACGCCTCCAACAACGAGCTGGTGCGCACCCAGACGCTGGTCAAGAACGCCATCGTGGAGGTCGACGCGGCGCCCTTCAAGCAGTGGTACCTGCAGGTACGTTCATGGCTGGAGGGGTGCCGCGTGTGTGTGCAAAGGCAAGTGTGTGTATGCCAAGACGCCCCTGTGTATGTGTGTATGTGTATGCGTGTGTGTGTGTTCGTGTGTGTCGTGGCACAGCCGTACCATACCTGATCTTGCAGGCGCTGGTCTGCGAACTAGGCCGTGCTGTCCTCTCTGAGCTGGAGCGTGTCCGCTGGGCTGAAGGGGGGGCGCCTTGCCGGCCAGTGCACGCCGGTCGCGCTCATGCCTGGCACCAGCGCACTTGCGCGTTTCGCGCACCGTCAGCCCCCCTGCCCCAACTTGCGCGCTGCGGGCCGCCGCTTGTGCGCGCAGCACTATGGTGTGGATATCGGCAGGAAGACCGCTGAGGAGAAGAAGGCCGCTGAGGCCAAGGAGGCCGCCGCTGAGGAGCCCAAGGAGGTGCGCAGCCGTGGCTCAATAGACAGGACGGTTTTCAAGGGCAGGGTGGTGCTAAGGAGCCGGGCAGTTTCAAGGGGCAGGCCGGCCCCATGGGCAAGGGCGGCCCTGTGGGCAGGGGCGGCTCCAAGTGGCAGGGCCGTGGCAAAAGCAGGGCAGCTCAAAGGGGCAGGGCAGCTGCAAGGGGTAAAGCGTTTTCAAAGGCAGGAGCGATTCCAAGGGCAGGGGCGGCTCCTAAGGCAAGGGGGTCCAGGAGGGGCCCCGGCGCTGCGCCTCGGGGCTATGCCAAACTTGCCGCGCTGGCCCCTGTGCGGGGCGCATGGGCGCTCGTTTAGCTGCGAGGCTGACAACCAGGAGGCTGGCGCGTGACCCCAGCACCCCCTTGCGACCGACGCTCGACGGCGCTGAGCTTCCACCCACTGACCCGCGCCGCCCCGCCCCGGCCGCGCAGGGCTCCAACCACGTGAAGCGGAAGATGAAGGAGCGCACCCGCGGCCGCAAGCTGGACGCCCACCTGGCGGAGCAGTTTGCCCTGGGCCGCCTGCTGGCCTGCATCAGCAGCCGCCCCGGGCAGTGCGGGCGCTGCGATGGGTACATCCTGGAGGGCAGGGAGCTGGAGTTCTACACCCGCAAGATGCAGAAGAAGGCCAAGAAGCACGCCTAGGGCGGCGGCGGCGCGTTCTGACACGTGGGGGGCGGCTGGCAGTGGGCCCTGGGGCTGGGTTCGGCCCCGTAGCTCTGTAAGCGTCCCGCCTGGAGCGTGCTGACGCTGGGGTGTATCGATGCCAGGGAGGGTGGCAGTGGCACGAGCGCTGGACCCAGTGATCAGCGCTAGCAGAGGCCGGGCGTACTGGCTGCAAGATCTGCAGGGGAGTGTCGACTGCTCCTGGGGAGAGTTCGGCAGTGACACATATCTGGATGGATTGGAGCAATGCGCAGCCAACCGCTTGCCTCAAAGCTCGGCTTAGGGGCTGATAGAACACAGCAGGAATGGCTTCATGGGTGGTAAGCAAGTGCCAAAGGCAAGCCAGCGCAAGCCAGCGAGCAACACGCTGTTCGGCCTGAGCACAGCAGGCTGTCATCGCAATGCCCATGAGGGGCGGCAGCCGGTAAGGCTGTTGTGTGCGAGGGGAACCCTGAAAATGATGTGGATATGTATGGGAAACTTCTGAGAATCGGACTGGACTGGCAAAGCGCGGTTGTGTTGCGATACGAAGCTGGGCCCTAAACCTGAAGGCTGTGCGGTGGTCTTCCGTGTGGGAGCAGACCCACCCGTTGGCACTCCCGAGCTCGAACACTTCACATCTAGCTCGTCTTGTCCCCAGTCGCCAGGTGTGCTGCCTGGATCACAGCCGGGCTTGGGACGGGGGAGGCCGAATCACGGCAATGGCTGACTCTGGGCGGCACCAGCGCGGAGGATTGGTTCTTGGCAGGACCTGGAGCGCGCCACGTGTAGGGAGGAGACAGTTGGCAGGCCCCAGGGGACCCCAGGGGCAGGCCGCGCCGAAACCTCTTCCAGCACAGCTGAGGATGCACCGCCGCGCTGGCCGACTATCCACGCCCCTCACGCGCCTCCGCACCTGCCCGCAGCCACCATGCTCCTCAACAAGTCCGTCAGCGCGCGCGCCGTCCGCGGCGCTGCGTCGCGCCGCAGCGTGCGCGTCGAGGCCGCCGCCGCCCGCCGCAGCTGGGCGCCCGGGGTCGCCGCCCCCGCGCACCTGACCGGCGAGTGAGTACAGGAGCAGAGTGTTGCTTGGCGCCGCTGCCGTCCGACAGCAAGCATGTTGCTCTGAAACAGCTGCGTGCCGCATAGGGACGCGGAGAGATGAATCCGGGCGGCTGCAGCCAGCTCGGCTTCTGCGTCGGGACGTGCGGCTGCAGCCCGGCAGATCGCCTGCGCGAATGGCCAGATCACGCGCCCCGTTGCGTCTCGCCCCGCCGCGCGCAGGCTGTCTGGTGACTTTGGCTTCGATCCCCTCAACCTGGTGGGCGGCCTGGGCCCAATTTATATGTGACACTGGAGGGTGGCCAGCAGCTGGGCGGGCAGCATCGACGCCCTCCCCCACCTGGCGCCCCGTCTGCGCCGCCCCGCCCCTGTGCCGCAACCGGCGCCGCTCCACGCCTCGCGCTGCCGCCAGCCGCCGGCGCGCTAGCCGCTGCGGGGCTGCTCGCGTGCGTGCCCTGGGGGCCCCGCATGAATCCTGCCCTTGGCCCCATGCCCCTTTGGCAGGGCAAGGACCCCGCCGCCCTGCGGTGGTACGTGCAGTCCGAGCTGGTCCACGGCCGGACTGCCATGGCCGCCGTCGCCGGCATCCTGATCCCCGGGGTGAGCGTGGGCGCGCGGCGCGACGCGGCCGGGTGTAACGCTGGAGCGGGCCGCGGCGAATCGTGACGTCGTCAGACTCGGGGGTGTGGCGCAGGCAGCAAGCTGGGGTTCCAACCAGGATCGCGGACGCCTCCTCGACCCCCAGTTGTGGCTCCTGTCCGCCGGACGACGCGTGCGAGCCAACCCTTAGGTAGCCAACCCTCATCGCTGGGCACGCCCGCCCCGCCGCCGACCCCCAACTTCCCCAGATCCTCACCAAGGCCGGCGTGCTCAACGTGCCCGAGTGGTACGACGCCACCGACGCTGCCCTCGCCGCCAACGGCATCCCCGTCAGTGAGTGCAGCAGCCCCTCGCGTCCCCCCTTTGCAGCCAGCCGCGGCGGGACTGCGGCCCCAGCAGCCGCAGCTGCGGCCGCCTGCTGTGGGGCTGGCGCCGCGGGCCTGGTGCATGTCACTGGTTGGCGGCGCCGGGAAGCCTCGTGCGGCACTGCGCACGTGCATGACAGGCGCCTTCAATCCCACTCGCTTCCCCGCTCGACCTCGTATCAATTCTCCTATCCCACATCCTCCGCACACTCGCACCACCCCACCAAAACCCCTCTCTCTCCCTCCCCCCCCTCTCTCTTACGCACAAACACGCACACGCACAAGTACATGCGCAATGTGCACACACACACACACACACACACACACACACACACACGCACGCACAAACGCACACAAACGCACACGCACCCCCTCCCCCACCAACCTCTCCCCAGAGGCCCTCTTCATGGTGGAGCTCTTCCTCTGCGGCTTTGTGGAGGCCAAGCGCTGGGTCGACTTTGTCAAGCCCGGCAGCCAGGGCGAGCCTGGCAGCTTCCTGGGCTTTGAGTCCAGCCTCAAGGGCGTCAAGAACGGCTACCCGGGCGGCGTGTTCGACCCCCTCGGCCTCACCAAGTGAGAGGAGGGGGGTTGCACGAGGGCTGGGAGAGGGCCAAAATCAGGCGTGTGTGTGTGTGTGTTGGTGGGATGGAGGCAACGGGGCGGGGTTTGGGGGGCGCCGGCTGGGGCGGCGCCGCGGCGTGCGGAAGGGGCGAGGGCAGTGCGGGCTGTGCGGGCTGCGCTGGCCCCCCGGCGCCGCGGGCCCCTGCTCGACCGGCAGTCCCCTTGCCGCGGGCCCCCGCAGCAGCTTGCCGGGGGCCACATGACCCACCCCACCACTCCGTGGCTCACCCGCCCAAACCCCACCCCAAACCCCCCTCCCCACCCCCGAAAGGGAGTCCCCCGAGAAGACCAAGGACTGGGAGGAGAAGGAGCTGCGCAACGGCCGCCTGGCCATGGTGGCGTTCGCCGGCTTCCTGGCGCAGCACGCGGCCACCGGCAAGGGGCCCATCGACAACCTGCTGGACCACCTGGCCTCTCCCCTCACCACCACCATCTGGGACAACGGCGTCAGGTGAGGGCGGGTATGGGAATGTATTTGTATGTGTGTGTACGTGCGTGTACATGTGTGTGTGAGAGAGAGTGTGTGTGTGTGTAGAGACGTGTTGAGTCATTGGTGGTGTCGTAGATGGGAGGGGGGGGGGTGGATCAGGAGAGAGGGGCCGGTCACAAGCGGGGTGTCGAGGTGGCCGCGGATGCGCACGGATGTCACGTGTGGGCGCGCGCGCTTGCAGGGGGCCCATCACGGCATGGGGGCTGTCGTAATCTCTCCCATGTTGCGACGGTCAGCTGGGTCATCGCGGCGAGTCCAATGCTCAGTTGCTCCACCACTTGTCCCTCTTTCAATTCCAATCCGCCCCCTTTGCGGTCTTCCTCCC